CCAGCTAATGATCGACAGATTCCACCTACATGTGTGATTACATTTTTTGGGTGGTTGGGTGATCTGTTGTCGTCCTCCTCCTTCCCTTGTATATTGACCCAAGCATTTCCGGATGAGCGTTGAAGTCCTCTGGGGCAATTCTGTGTGTTGTCACCATCAGATCATTTTCAACATGAAATGTTAGGAAATGTGTATACCTTCCTGAAGACGCAAGTACGCAAACCACGTTGAAGGTTGAATGACCAGAAAAACATCTGTTGATATATGATTATTGTCTTGGATCACGAAAATCTGAATTGTAGTTTTCCATGTTACAACCTTGTATGGTAATATTTATCAAGTCAAGCATCTTGATGATCTAAGATATCTGAATCAACAATGCTGTTGTTTTATGGGGGTTTCTTTTATTTGTTCTTCTAAAATATTGGATGTTTTAAGTATTTGTTTGTGTTTATTGTGGTGTGGCCATGGTAAAAAGCCCCGATTTCTTGTTTGTTGATGTAATTTGGATATATAGGGGTGACATAGCATAGATTCTGGGATCCGATATATTTACTCTATCTGTTGGCTTGACCTGGTGTTCCTGGGGCATGAGTTATCTTGGTGTTATACCCAATTCAATTCACTTCCAGTGCATTCTGTTTTTGTGTTTTTTGCACATATATGTGGCCTTTGTATACACCCAAGGATATTTAGAGCTACCTTGCCACCAGTAAAGCAAGGTACCACCTAATGAATGCTGCTAGGGTGCTGGTGCTAAAATTTTGGGAAAGAGAATCACCTGCACTTAGGATGTCCACTTAATAACCATCTCTTTTACCCTTTTCTTTTCTTAAAGTAATATTAAACCCTCTGCCTTTTTAAATGTACTGGGTAATGTCAAGCAGTGCAACAGTAACCAGTACCACATTACCCCTGTGCCCTTCACATGAAGGGACAGTGCAGACTCCAACCACTGTCAATCAGCAGCTGGAGGGAGCAGCAGGTGAGTAGCTTGCCTTTGGGACCATAAGGTTCAGTGGATGTAAACACACGTGTCCAGGTGGGAGCATAGACACATAGGTAGCTCAATGGGTCCCTGTAAGTCACCCGAAGGCAGGATTGTAAGAGGGAACATTCTTCACATCAGGATTTGAAAGCAGATACAATGGTGAAATGGAAATGGACATGCAAGCAAGGAAAGTGCTGGGCTCTACATCATTTTGTATATTTTTTTAATTAAGGTTTATTATCACTTTAAGTCTGGATGTATACTCATAGTCCCCTGGGTCCTACACTGGCTGACTCTGTAGCCCTAGACTCACAAGATTAGATGACAAACACTGCATGCGCATTGAGGATGTGTATGAAGTGGTTAAGACAGTTTGCCCACTTTACATTAATGTGCCTAGAACTGACAAGTAGAGCAAAGTGTAACCCTATTCTGGTATTGTGTTGCAGCTTTGTTCTAGATATGTGGACCCAGTCAGCAGTATGATGTGTGGATGCGGTCTATAGCCACCCTAGACAATGGCCTGTGTTGGCTATCGCGCTTTTCCAAATCTCTTTTATTCTTTATTTCTGCTTTCATGTTATATTCCACCATTTTAGGCCTGAAAAATACTTGAAACTAGGGATGCACCATATATCGGCCGCCGAGACGTATCGGCCGAAAATGACACTTTTGTGTCATGTTTCGGCCAATACATCGGCGCATCCCTGCTTTCTCTCCTCCCCATGTGTGTCCCAGCGGGGAAGAGAGAAAGTGTCACAGGCGGCCGAGCGCTACGGTAGGAGAGCGCTTTTAACGGCCGGTGTCTCTTCTCCCACACCGCTCGGCCGCCTATCACAGTCCGGCAGAGCGGTGTGTGGGCGGAGACAGGCCACGCTGTCACAGAAGGCTGAGCTCTCCCTGCCCCGCTTGATCAGCCTCCTGTGACAGCGTGTCAGAGAGGAGAGCAGGTTACAAACACTCAGTGATCAGTGGTCGCTGAGTGTTTGTACATAATTGAAGCTATGGTATGTCAACTATAGCCTCAATTATGAACAAATGGGAGTGATCTACATCACCTCCTGTTCATTCATAGTTGTATTTATAGTAAATATACCATATCCTCATGTTATCAATGAACAGAAACATTCGTAGAAGATCCCTGTTCATTGATAACTGAGGCTGCAGAAAAAGAGAGTACTTTGTGTCCTAAATCTCTTTTTCTATTTTGAAAGGGAAATATCAGGGTCTGTTTAGACCCCCAATACTTCCCCGAAACCCCTAAAAGTAAAGTAAAAAATAAAAATATGTATTAAAAAAATAATTAATAAATACAAATATAAAAAATTAAAAAGTTTATAAAAATAAAATATTTGAAAAATTTGAAAAAATTAAAATACAAAAATTTTTCGGTATCGGTTTCGGCCTGACAGTTTTTTTTATTTTGGTTTAGTTTCGGTTTTAAAATTTCCATTTCGGTGCACCTCTACTTGAAACCCCCAAACATGATATATTTTCTGAATGCTGACACCATATAGAATAAAATGGTGGCAGTTGCAAATTTTTATGTTGCACGATATTAGCGCAACTCCTTATCAAACCCCAAAATGTAGTGAAAAATGTATTTAAATGCCCCCAAACACAATAAAATACCCATTGTTTTAATAACATATAAAACATGAGGTTACAACGAGTAAATAGATACCCAACATGCCCAGGTTAGAAATTGTGTGCATCCGTGAAACGGCGACAAACTTCAGTATCCCAAAAAGTCCATAGACGATGCTTTAAAAGCCCCCACAGTTCATCACTTTAGAGATACCCAAAAATACTGGCCCTAGAATTATCGCTCTCACTCCGGCATGCACGGCAATACCCAACATGTGTATCGCTTTCGTCGTTTTCAAACGCAGGCGCACCCGACGCGTGTTTACGTGGCGATGCGCATGCTCGCAGGGGCGAGGGACTTTGAAAAATCTTTTAAAATTATTTTTACATTTATTTTATTTAATTTTCATTTTAAAAACTGTTGTTTATTAATTTTTTTACTTTACTTTGATTGCCATCACATAGGGGGGCTAACAAGCCCCCTATGCGATAGCAAATGGTGGTGACAGGTACTCTTTAAGGTGATGCTGGGGGTCCAAAAGACCCCCAGTGTCACCTTTGTACTCCAAATAAGCTATTGAATCGCACTTCAATAGCTTATAGCTGGGCTTCAGGAGCCCAGCACTGACAGCTATGGGACCGGAAGTGATGCAATCTGCATCGCTCCCGGTCCCATAGAACGGGGAGGGGATCATCGAACGGAGATTCGTCCATCTCCTCCTCAGCTCCCCACCGACACCAGAGAAGCCGGTTCCGGGCCCGTAGGAGGGGCAACGGAGCCCGGGAAGCACGGCGCGGTGTCGGGGGGGGGACCCCTTCACCGGGCCATAGAAGTGATCTGGCGACAGCTGAGTCGCCAGAATCGCTTCTATTGTAAAGCCGACAGTCGGCTTTACAAGTTTGAACGGAGTCCCGGCGGCTTTGTTTAAACAGCCCCGATGCTAGCGACGTACACTGTACGTCGTTAGTCATGAAGGGGTTAAAGTGGTCAAAATAAAAAAAGACATATGATGCAGTCATATGATGCTAGCATTAACACAGCAGTTTTTTTAATTCTGAGTCCTACTGTTGTTTAGAGCAGCCTTTCTCAACCAGTGTGCCTTCAGATTTTGCTTAAGAGGGGAGACTCTGATGTGAAAGGGGACTTGTGATGTATAGAGGGAATTTCTGATGTGAAGGGGGCTCCTGATGTGAAGTGGTGCTTCTGATGTGAAAGGAGGGGTTTGCCTGGGGGTCCACCTTAAAATTCATACCAGACCCCTGTCTAGAATAAAAGTTTGGTATTGATTCTGGGCAGCAGGGGCCAATGTGTCATTTTTACAGTTACATGTTTTCACTTTACGAGTGGGTGTCTCAAGATTTTGCATACTTTTAAAAAGGGGCCATGTCTGAAAATAGGTTGAGTACCTGGCAGACTAAATCTAACTATTTATAGATAGAGATACAATGCATCACGACAAAGATCCACATAAGATATGGTCATGCTGCAATACCATATTTTACCATTGCAGTTAAAGCGACACTAAACTCAGGAGTTAAGTCTTAAAAATGCATACAAATACCCTATTGACAAAAATTTAGCTTATATGTAGATCCTCAAATCATCTCTGAATTCCTACAGACACTGTCCTTCCTTCTGGAGGGTGGCTACTTTTGTTCCCCATGGTCCCTATGTGTGTTGTAAAGTAGCCACCGTTCCAATCTTGGACTACAATCTCATGTTTAGTTTACTGGTTTGTACTGAGATTGTAGTCCATCACAGGAGCAAGCTTGGTGCGGTGACTACTTTACAACACACATAGGGACCATGGGGAACAAAAGTAGCCACCCTCCAGAGGGAGGGACAGTGTCAGCACGAATACAGAGATGATTTGAGGATCTACAGCCAAGTGATGCACAGATACTTTACGCGTTTGTTAATAGTTAAGGCACTTGAATGCCTTTTAAAGTTTTAACTCATAAGTTTAGTGCACTATAAAGTGAAAAGAATTTGAACTTTTGGAAACATGAGCACATCACCTTTGCTCAATGCAGGGGAAGGCATGCTATTTTTGCAGATTGTAGAGCTGAACAAGAGCCCTCTGGAACCTAGGTGCCCATTTATACTAGGTTTGGGTTAGATGGGGGCTGGGATCCCCACCCTGTCTTGTCCTTTCATCCATGTGACTACACATAGAATAGGTCCTTACAGATCTTTTGACTTGGCCAGTAGTTGAATTAGAGAGGGCACAAAAAACTGGTCCTACACAGGGGCCCTTTGGTGACTCAATCTGCCACTGGCCCCACTAATCACCTTTAAGCAGATATGGGCCTTTAACTTACTACATTTCAGTATTTTATAGTCTTTCATATATGGTTGTGTGTAGAAATATGTGTTCATAAAAAATCTGCAACACTTCTAACCACATAATCTGTACTGCAGGTATTGTGTCCCTGGTTTCTCTGTCTCTGTTATCCTATGAGAGATACCTAACAGTGCTAAAATGTGAAAAGGTCGATGCATCCAACTACAGAAAGGCCTGGATATGTATCATTGGATCCTGGCTCTACTCTCTGTTTTGGACAATGCCACCTCTGTTTGGCTGGAGCAGCTATGGCCTGGAAAGTTCAGGAACGACGTGTTCAGTGGTATGGCACTCAAAGTCTCAAAACAATGTATCGTATATTGTGTGCCTCTTCCTGTTCTGTCTGATCTTACCTCTGCTGGTTATGATATTCAGCTATGGACACATTGTCAAAGTCATTCGAGGGGTAAGTTTAATTATATTTTCCTGACTTTAATGATAAATTCTATTAACTATAAAATATGGACATGTTAGCCATAAAAATATGAAAAAGCATACTGCACTCTGCTAAATTAATAACATTTCATATGATATAAAACAATCAGTGAATCTAATGGCTGAACTACTTCTTTGAAGGTCTGGAGCCTTCAGTTTAATTTTAACTGGAGTTCTCGACTGCATGGAGTTTCTGTGTTTCTCTCCTAATGTAGTTTCCTTGAAGTACAGTGGTACCTCGGTTCACGAACGCTTCTGTTCACGAACGATGCGGTTCGCGAACACTAAGTTCATCAAATGTTGCCTCCGTTCGCGAACTCTGTTTCAGGTGATGAGCACGACCGCAGCCATCTTCAGCGCTCTGACACATGGTCGTGGCTTCCTGTACTCGAGATTGCCGGTCGCAGACAGGGCTGTGGAGACCTACTGTGAAGCTTTTTTGTGTGCTTTGTAGCACAGTACTGTACATTACTGTATTCAATCCAGCATGGCTCCCAAGAATGTGCAGAGCAAGCATGGTGGGAAAAAGAAAGCGATTAGCATTAATGAAGGTGACAAGAACGTGCAGAGCGTTAATAAAGGTGACAAGAATGTGCAGAGCGCTACTGAAGGTGACAAGAATGTGCAGAGCGTTAATGAAGGTGACAAGAATGTGCAGAGCGTTAATGAAGGTGACAAGAATGTGCAGAGCGTTAATGAAGGTGACAAGAATGTGCAGAGCGTTAATGAAGGTGACAAGAATGTGCAGAGCGGTAATGAAGGTGACAAGAATGTGCACAGCAAGAATGGTGGTAAAAAGAAACTTGTGGTTACATTTTTTTTTCATATGGTTCAAAATCGGTTCGCGACCACGTTCATAGGGGTCAGAACAGATTAACCTGATATACATTGAACCCTATGGGAAAATGTGATTCGGTTTGCGACCAGAATCGTGGAACCAATTAAGTTTGTGAACCGAAATACCAATGTACTTTCCTCACAAACAAACAGGCTAGCTACCAAATACCTAAATTCTCTTCCTGATATAAGCTATTTTACAGCCTCCTACTGCCCTAGGCTGTCACTAATCATATTTATAGAGCTGTCAAATACTTAGCTAACAGAAGCTTCTGGCTCCCTTTAGGCATGGTACCAGAGCACAGTCATGCTTATGAGACACATACACACAATACAACGTTGAGACATTCAGGCACAACCAAGCAATTAGTGTGACTGATTTACTAAAACAGTAAAACCTGTTCACTTTGGAAAGTGATTTTTCACTTGGCAGGGGAATTTTTACTTAGCTTAGTGAATGAGGTAAAGTTGTGCTGACTGCAATTATCCGATTCCGTGCAAGCAAAAATCCTGTTTTTTTTAACTTTAAGTTTTTTTTTAAATTTAGTTTCAGTGCATATAAATCATTTTACACTCATAGAATCAACAAGCAGATACATTAACACATCTTATCCTTCAGACTTAACAGTAAACCTGTTCGGTGCGATCGCTGTAACATTCCATCAAGTAGCAAGTATTTGCCTGTGCATTGAGGTTGAAGATAACTTATGCAAAGTAAACTATATTGTATAGTCGGTAGGTATAGAGAAACAATAAACCTCGGCTGCTGGCCACGCCCCCGCAAAAAACCTGTTTTAACATTTCCTTGCACATGATTGGCTGTTCTTTGCAAAGTAAGTTTTCCCCACATTCACTAAGGTCAGTGAAAATCCCCCTGCAAAGTGAAAATTCTCTACGAAAAGTGTTTTTTAGTATATCAGTCACAGTGTCTCTGGCTGAACACAGCCTTTGACATTGACCTCTTTTCTGGATCATTGCTCCAGCCTTACATATTAGATCTCGAAAAGCACAGTGTATGTTGGTGGGGGAGGTATAATAACTCAGATTGCTTGTTTAAAAGTTTTTCTCAGTATCTATATCTATCAGCATATATATAACATATTACTTAAAGCCTATCTCAAGGGGAAAAAAATCCCTTGCAGTGGTGCTACCCCTGCACTGCACGGTTAACTGCTCATTTATGTCTAGGGGGTAGTGTGTAATGGACGTGAATGACAGCTGGCACTGCCTATCTAGAGGCAGAGCCAGCTGTACCCGCCCCCTCCCCCGTCCGTTCTGCCAGACAGCGCTGGAGGATCGGAGCGGAGAGCCGTAAGTGACAGTCACGGCTCTCTACAGGGAGATGATCGAGAAGTGAGCGTGCGACAGTATGAGGTCGCTCACTTCCCCATCTATTGAGACGACGTTTGACAGTTTCATTCTCACACGTTTGCTTGAACTATGAGGATGAATGATTTTCACTCACCTCATAGTTCTCCTTTAATCAGCAAGTATTTCTTGCAGTGCAGGGAAAGCCCCACTGCAAGGGGAATTTTTGAATTTCTGTGGACACTGGAATTATCATGTGACCTGCTTACCTGACATATTTTTTCCATGGTTTTCTATCTGTATTGTGTCATATTTTTTATCACAATATTTACCATTTTTTTCATCATTGCCACATTGCCACTTCAAAATCTTTAAGTCCAACTTGTTTATTTAGGTTTAGATAGAGAAGGGAAGAACAATAGCCCCTCTAAAGATGAAAAAGGTGCAAAAGATTCTTCCATCTAAGCTAAACTGTGTGGATGGAGGAATCTCCACCTGGGCCAATCTGTTGCACTTTTTCCATCTGCAGATAATTGTAAGGTGTATGGGCACCTTTAGGCTTTCAATTCTGTCTGTTTACTTGTTGAGGCTATTTTCCCTTTCTTCCCGTCTGACACCCGCCAGCTGGACAGGAAGCAAGGGAAATCATAAAAGAGGATTTATGCCTTCCCACTAGGGATGCACCGAAATGACATTTTTAGACCAAGACCAAAAATACAATTTTTGCCAGGCTGAAACCAAATCCGAAACCAAACATGACTTTTTTTTTCCAACTTTGTAAAATTTTGTAAAATTATTTTATTTTTATTATTATATTTTTTTTACTTTACTGTTAGGGGCTTTGGGGGATATCAGGGGTCTAAACAAACCCCTGATATTTCCCTTTTAAAATAGAATAAGAGATTGAGGACACGGAGTCCTAAATTTGTTTTTCTGCAGCCTCTGTTATGAATGAACCTTCTATACTGAGTGCTCCTGTCCATTCATAAACTGTGGAGATAGTATCAGTTACTATGTCCACAATCATGAATGAACAGGAAGTGATGTAGAGCACTTCCTGTTCATTCATAACTGGGGACACAGTGAGCATACTATGTCCTCAGTTATTTACAAACACTCTGTGATCAGTCCTGATTGCTGAGTGCTTGTAACCCGCTGTCCATCCTGACTCCTACGCCTGTCACAGGAGGCCGAGCGGCGTGGTGCTGGAGGAGAGCTCGACCTCCTGTGACAGCTGACAGCTCACTCCTCCCTGCACTGCCCTACTTGGCATCCTAAGAGCTTCTCTCCTTCCCGCTGGGCATCGGCAGATGGATCCTCTGAGTCCCCTCAGATCCCCGCTGCCTCTGCCGACACAGGCAGGGGAGAGCAGTGGGCATTGGAGGGACACAGACCGGCGCCCAGCGGGGAGGAGAGAAGCTGAGAATGCGCACTGAATTTTCAGCCATTATGGTAATATCGGCATTTTGCCGATAGTACCATTTGCTAAATATTTTGGCGGATAAAATTTCGTGCATCCCTACTTCCCACTCTACTAGAAAACAATTTTCATTGGAAAGTCCAGGGTAGGGAGATTTCTTCTCACTTTTTGTTCTGTCTGACACTTAATAAAAATACAGGTATTGAGGGAAAAAGTTCCAAATGAGGACAAAGGCAACATTAAAAAAATTATAGAGGTTTTGATCCTACCCCTACTCCGTCATAAATGAAAAAAAAAAACCCTATTTAGATGGTGTTGGGCTTTGAAATAAATGCCTGAGGTCCCATCTGTCCATGGACTTTTACAAGGATGAGTCTAGCACATCTACTGTGCTGTGTTTCCTAAACAGGTCCATGATACATACTGTAAGTGAAAGGCAAATATGATAAGCTCCATGTGAGCAGAGCAGAAACAAAAATCCAACGGCATAGCTTTGGAGCCATGATGAGTTAATATCTGTCAAATAGAAGCACCTATGATTTGAAAGTATTATAAAAATAGCAACTGTGTCACACACAGAGGGGAATTTATCAAAACTGGAGCAGACAAAATCTGGAGCAGCTGTGCACAGCATCCACTCAGCATCTCTCTTTCATTTTCAAATCTTAACTAAACAAACTGAAGAGAGCAGCTGATTGGTTGCCCTGGGCAACTGCTCCAGATTTTATCTGCTCCAGTTTTGATAAATTCCCCCCACTGTGTCTTAATGATCCTCACATTTTTATAACATTTGCATTGGCCATGTGAGCAGGACATACACGCTTGCACATACCCATTACACATACACATTGCCAACAGGAAAAGCTTTTCAGAACAGAAAAACACAAAACCATGACACATTTCTCCTGTTTTATGTATTTCACATTTACTTCTGGAGATGTTTCATTTCTTAAAGATGTGTTTTGAAGTACATAGATTGGAAAGCTTTATTTCCGTTCTTTAAATAACAGCTTTATCACTTACCTTTTCATCAACGCAATCATCACTGGCTCTATTACATTTCAGGGTGAACCCAAAGACACATGTTCTATATCCAGCTAACGCAGGAAGTGATCATAAAAAACATACTGTCATATATTTCCTACATGCAAAGTCTCAGTGTTATTACTGTGGCCCAGGGTCATACAACAAGCCATTGACCATGACAATTTATTGTGGAGTTTTACTTAGCAACACAAGTTAAAGCTTCCATTAACAAACAATTAAATGAAAGAACCTATAAACATGGCCTTTGCAGGACTCAGCTGCAGCCAAGTGATTCTTTTTTTCCCCTTACCTAATTGTTTTCATGTCAAAAGGCCTTTATGCTGTACAGTAACAATCATCATTTTTAACTGCTGATAGAAGGTCTATGCTTAGATTTACAACCCCATGAAGTACAAAATCAAGTATAGATGGTGGCCTCTCTTGCACCTCTAGTTTAGGTATCTCCAAGGGTGGAGGCCAAGTATCACCTAGGCAAAGGATCACCTGAACTAATAATTTTCAAGTCAAAATGCCTATATGCTCTACAGCAATAACAATAATATTTAACTGCTGATAGATCTATGCTTAGATTTGCAACTGCTTGAAATACAAAGGCCTCTCTTGCACATCTAGTTTAGGTACCTCCAAAGGTGGAGGCCAAGTATCACCCAGGCAAAGGAGCTGCAAAAAATGCTTGGTCACAGATGTCAAGGATATCCAGATCAACCAAAGCAGAGCAAGTCTGAAACACAGGATGTATCATGTAGCAGCATGGTAGTTGAACAAATCTTAAAAGCAGCAGCCTTTACCAGGACACCTGAAGGTGGGTGGACTTTCTGTTTTTCCAGGATGCAAAGGTCAGCACATCCAGCATGTGGTCTGGGCATGGATGGCGCATGATTGGCCCAGGTCACTGTAAGTGGGCGTAAAGTACCAAAATAACATACAGCAGGGTACTCAGGTACAGGATGGTGTTAGGGAGCAAGCAGGCAAAAAAAGTACTGAATGAGTCGGCATAGATTAGGATTAAAGGCACAGGTAGGCAAGCCAGGATCAATTATAGCCACGATGAGGATAGGTTAAGCAGAGTAAAATACAAGTCAGACCACCCAAAGAACAAGAGGTGAAATAAGGTCAAGTCAAAGTACACAGGTCAGGAATGCTGATGATCCCTTTAGCTCCAAGGTGCGATGGAAGTGAACTTAGACAGCCCTTTTGATGCCAATGGCAGCACATACATTGATATAACATGACATCACGTGCACCTTGAGGCATGCACTTTCAGATGAAGAAACACAAAGTCATGTTTATTGATATCAGTGGAAATGATGCTAGCATTTTCCATGTAGACTGTTGTTTTTAACGATGGGCAAGTAGTGAAAGGGAAGAGAAAATACATGTCATAAACTGTACTGACTTTTAGTTTATCTCTGGTTTAAATCGTATAGGGAGGTTTCCTAAAAACGGAAACTCATTTTTAAAATGAATCATCCAATCAAAGATATAGCTGCAATGGGCCGAAACGTTATTGGATATTCAGACAATTTTAGGGTAAAGGATTAACGACTGTATAATTCTAAATGTCTTTGCAGATGGGCCGGATAAACTTAAGCACAGCTCAGAAGAGGGAGCACCACTTGCTGTTTATGGTGCTGTGTATGATCACTTGCTATCTCTTCTGCTGGATGCCTTATGGATTAGTCTCTTTGATTACAACTTTTGGGAAACCCGGAATCATCTCTCCCACAGTCGGCATCATACCATCCATTCTGGCCAAGAGCAGTACCTGTGTCAATCCTCTCATATATATATTTATGAATAAGCAGGTATGACTGGCAGATTCAAGCCTGCTGGAGTAGAGCACTGTAGTCAGCTATGGTAATGTTCAATGTACAGTAACACATAGTAACAGGAACAAGGGCTAGAACCTTTTTGATGGTGTTTGTGTGTACACTTTCCCCTACATAACAGGCAGTGAGAAAACATCAACAGTTTTCACCAGGTGTTCCTAATGGGAAATTTTCCTTGCCTCCCGTTCCAGTTAAAAAGTAAAATGTTTACTCATGTTGATCTTGGTGGACTCCCAATGCAGACTTCTTTGCATAGTAATACCTCCATAGGTCCTCTTTTAAGAAAAGAAACATTTTATGTTGCTGTTCACATTTGAACCTGCAGATGGACAAACAAAGAACCATTATGCAACGCTGCCTCAGTTGTGATACAAGGTTTTCAAAGCAGGTGGCTCTGTTTGCATTCAGAAATAGCAGCTCCTGACTATGGTTAAAGTCCAATTGAACTTTAAATTTAACTTACTTAAATAGGTTCCAGGGTCATCAAAATTAATGATGTGCAAAGTCTTGCTTTAGAGAATGGCCCCTGCTCTCTGTGTGTAAACAGTGGTCTCTCTGCAGGGGTCCAAAAGACCCCTTGATGGGTAAAGCTTTTCATTGATCAAAGCTCATGTTTCTTGTTTATTGCACAGGTCTGAGTCAGCAGGAGTCTCAAACCTCTGCAGAGAGACCATTGGCTTTTCAATATAGGAAATAGCTTATTTCTATGGTGTGATTGTGATGCTGCACTGCCCCTTAATTTAGAACAAAGTTGCCACCCTCATAAAGGTTGTGGCTGCTTGCACTATAGTGGAAAAATAA